ATGCCAGATACCACGTATTTATACGTATCTGATCGAAGACTAGCCTTAATCGAAAGTTCTCTCTCGTGATCGGGAGGGGTAATTAATTATAGGGGCTTGCGCCTATAGGAAACCAGAACTCAGATCATAAAGTCCTCGCAAAATGAGGGCGAAATCTCTGGGTAGTGTCTTATCTACAAACTCATCTGCCTTCCAAAATTTACCCCGGAACATATTTAGTTAAAACTCCTTCACCGAATAAGAAGAAAAGCGCGGCGGGGAGGCCGGGGCCGAATTTTTGGAGCCCACAGCATTGAAGGATCGTTTTCTTCATTCTTCGTTTTCTTAATCATAGGCTCGATACCGGAACTCACTACCGCTCAGTACATGGTATTGCTCGGTACTGCTTAGTTATCAGTACCGCTCGGTATTGCTCGATACTCGGTACTGCTCGGTACTCGATACTGCTCCGTATTGCTCGGTACTGCTCGGTACCGGTACTGCTCGGTACTCGGTGCTGCTAAAAACTGCTAGGTATCGGAACTCGGTACTGCTCGGTATCGGAACTGCACTCGGTATCGCTTGGTACTACTCAGTACAAAGGGGTACTGAATGGTACCAAGCAGTACCGAGAAGATAGAGGAAACTTTAAAGCAACCCTTATAATAAAATTTTGTTCCGGGGGCGCCCCCTTGGACCCCCGGCATTGGGGCACACATCTATACTTTGAATTAAAAATTTTTATGTTTCAAATTCATGTGGATTGTTTTGTGTCGATCTTTTGTAAGATAATGAGCTCTAGTGGTGTACGAATTGAGTCTATTGATGGTCCATCAGAGACCAATATTGAAGATAACAAAGCTCTGCGGGGTTATGTGACAAAAATAGGTAAAATGTCAGAAGGGGGTCGCAATATTGCATTCAAATGCAATTTTTGTAATGCCACATACAAAGGATCATATTATAGAGTGAAAGCTCATTTGCTGAAGATTAGTGGTCATGGAATTAAAGTATGCCCGAATATAAGCTCATCACAAATTGCTGAATTGCAAAGAAAAATCAGTGAAGCTAAGCAAAGGAGTAAAAAAGAGTTTCCAAAACATATTCCACTTCCAAGCACTCATGCTTCATATCCTTCATCATCTTCTTCAATTAGAAGTGATGATAGTACTATTAATAAGGGGCCTTTTCGGATGGAAGGATTTGAACCAAAAAGAACAAAACATGTTGTAGATAGTGCTTTGGATAAAACATTTAATTTAAAAATGAGAGAACAACTAGATGGGGAATAGCTAGAATGTTTTACTCAGCTAAACTTTCTTTTAACCTAGCAAGAAATACACATTACAAGAATGTCTTTACCTATGCATGTAATAATAACCTTGCAAGATACGTGCCACCTGGATATAATGTCATTAGAACGAAGTTGTTGCAAAGAGAGAGGGATAATATTGAGAAGTTGCTTGAGCCTACTAGAGGAGTTTGGAAGGAAAAAGGAGTTACTTTAGTTTGTGATGGGTGGACAGATCCACAAAGAAGACCACTTATCAACTTCATGGCTGTAATAGAGAGCTATCCTATGTTTATCAAAACTGTAAACTGTGAAGGACAGTACAAGGATAAGTTCTTCATTTCTAATTTAATCAAAGAAGTTATCATGATGGTGAGGCCTTCTTTTTTTTTTTTTTTTTTTGATGTAATGCAAATTGCATTAAAAAAAGGAAATAACAACCTAATAACAAGCTAATTAAAGTAAACCTAAAGAATCACATTCCTCCTTCAAGCAAAACAAGAATGAAAGAGGAATATCATCAAAGCTAATGTCATCCCAAACAAAAGAACTCTTTAAAGCCAAATTAGCACAAACATCCGCTAATTTGTTACAATCTCTTTTTGTATAAGAAAACAAAACTTGTTTAAAATCAAGAAGGAAAGACAAGTTATCTTTAATGCACTTACTAACCTTCCAAGTCTTCATAGCCGATTGAAGAAGTTTTATAATATTATAGTTATCTCCTTCAATTATGATTCCTTGAGCTTCAAACATCCACTCACGGATGATGTCTTTTAAATAGAGAACCGCCATCAATTCAATTTGAGCAATGTCCCAATGCATGAGATTTACTCCGAAAGCTATAAGAAAACTTCCTTTCTCATCTCTTACAACACCACCGAATCCAGCAGCATTATTTGATAAAATAGAAGCATCTACATTTAATTTAATCCACCCGGTTGGAGGAGGATACCAAGAGCAAGACAGCTTTCGCTGATTAGGATCCCAGTTTTCTGGTAAAGGATTAATAAAATTGCTAACTGTAACAGTAGATACCACATTTGCTACCAAAGAATTGATTGAGTCTTCAATGCCATCATGAATCCATTTACATCTACTTTTTCATACAAGTCAAGTAGTTGTACAATACATATTAGCAGTGAGAGGATTCTTTCCTACAAGTTTCTTTAAGCCTTCCAAACATTCGTGTAGATTGACAAAAATAGGAATTTTGAACCCCCAGCTATTGAGCATTGAAATCACTTCTTGCAATCTCGAGCAGTTTCCTGCAATATGCCAATCATTTTCATCTTCTTTACATCCCCTCGGGCAGCCTGAGAAGTTACTCACTTTCCTTCTAACTAGAAAATCATTAGAAGGAATGGCATCACTATACAGTCTCAACCAAAAAAGCTCAACCTTCGGTCTTAACTTTAATTTTTTCATCCAATTCCATATAGCACTACCTTCATTTTTATCACCAAATGCTTGAAATGCCAAAGCAGCGATTGACTTTCCTGAAAATTTAGAATTGAGCTCAATTAGATCATACCCTCTATCGGCCTGAATTGGGATTTGAGTAATATGTTTCACCAGTTGATCCCCAAATATTAGTTGAATATGATCAGTATTACACTTTCCTTCCAAAATAAAATAACTGAGCTTGTATTCATTTGGTGGGGCCTTCAAACATCATCCAAATCATTACTGATACTACACCTGTTTGTAGAGCTGCAGGTCTTCTTGTAGAGCAAGCCTATCCTCATATTTTCTGGACACCATGTGTTGTGCATACACTTAATCTTTCCTTGAAGAATATTTGTGCAGCTAAGAATACCGAGGCAAACGAAATCACCTATAATGAATGTCATTGGATAACAGTGATTGCTGGAGATGCAGTTGTAATTAGGAATTTTATTATGAATCACTCCATGAGACTCTCTATATTTAATGATTTCTCTAATTTGAAGATGCTTGTTGTTGCTGAAACTCGATTTGCCTCAGTTACAGTGATGTTGAGAAGATTCAAAAAAATAAAAAATATTCTTCAAGCTATGGTGATCAGTGACAAATGGTCCTGTTATAAGGAAGATGATGTTGGAAAGGCTAGATATATAAAGGAGAAGCTTTTAGATGATTTATGATAGGATGAGATTGAATACATCATAAATTTCACATATCCAATTTATGAGATGTTGAGAGAGATGATACAGATAAGTCTTGTTTACATCTCATTTATGAGATGTGGGATTCAATGCTTGCCAAAGTATAAGAAATTATATATAGACATGAGAGGAAGGCACTTCATGAAGACTCAAGCTTCTGGATGTTATTTATGCTATTCTAAAAGATATGTGGAGCAAAAGTAATACACCTTTACATTGCTTGGCACACTCACTAAATCCCAAGTAAATTTCAACATTTTTCATTATTAATTAACAATTTGTTGTTTAGTAATTTCAACATTTTTTCATTATTTCATTTTAATATTTTTTAAAAATATTCAACAAAAGAATGGCTTCCAGAGGATCCTCAAAGAGTTTCTCCACAGAAAGATTTATAAATTTCAAATATGAGGAAGATATGTTTGAAGCGTTATTTTCCAAATGAGGAGGAGAGAAGAAGTGTCAATATTGAGCTTGTTAATTTTTTTGTTATTTAGAGGACTTTGGTGACCAAGAGTCATTGCGTGATAGGTGGAGAATTGATCTGAAAATGTTGTGGATTATACATGGAGCTTCAGCACCTCTACTTCAAACAATCGCCATAAAATTGCTTGGCCAAGTTTCATCCTCATCCTGTTGTAAAAGAAATTGGAGCACATACTCGTTTATCCAATCAATGAAGAGAAATAAAATTATTCCACAACGAGCTGAAGATTTAGTTTATGTGCATACAAACCTTCGACTTCTCTCAAGGAAAACTCTAACTTATATGGAATGAGACAATAGGATATGGGATGTTGCTGGAGATGGATTTGAATCTCTTGAGGATATGGGAATATTAGAAATTGCTAATCTTTCACTTGATGAGCCTGAATTAGAAGCTATGATATTTATTGAAGATGATATAGAAACTCAAAGACAAACCACTGAAGAAGCTAATCCTATCATTCCTTCTATTGAATAGTTGAAATTTCATGTGCTGGACAATTTATCTTCTTGTTTTTGTTGTTGTACTAGACATTTAAATATTTAATGCTTACTTTTATTTCAATTTTTTTTTTGTCATTTCAAATATTACACTTTGATTAATTTCTTAATTTTTATGTATTATTTATATATTATAATGTCATATCCGCGCCGTATCCGTATCCTGTAATTTTAAGAATTGGCGTGTTCCGTATCCGTATCGTGTCGTATCCGTATCGCCGTATCCGTATCGGTGCAACATAGATTATAAAACAAAATAGTTAACAGTTTTTTATTATTTTCCCATAAGTTTGAAATCTTACGCTTTAAACCAATAATCATGTGACTTCAGCAATAAGTAATAATCTAAATTTAAACTGCATAGTGTCCACTACATCCAAAAATATTTATTGAAGAGTCAAACCTTTCCAAATGCTTCAAAATTTTATAATCCAGAGCGGTTAGACATCTTTTTTAAGCTCTTGCGCTAACTAAGGTACTAGGCATACCAAGCGTCGATCAAGTGCAGGAAAAACAGAAAACACAGTAGCAAGTTAAAGCAAAATCATATGAGATCCCTGATAAGGCACAAAAACAAGGGAGGTGTAAGGGGATACGTTGGGACTGGATAGATCATTTTTCTAACAAGAAGATTTCCTCCTTCTGGTAATGTCGGCTCCATTTCTCGTCCTCTATGCCAGTGCAAGAAAGTTAGCTTTCCCTGGAAAAAACCTTTCCACACTGAATCATTGAACTGTTTTGCATTTATTTGTCCCATATGATAATTCTGCATGTAAAATAAGATAAAATTGAGGGCCTTTTGGCTTTCAGAAATGGAAATTTTAGCCATAAAGGAAGTTAAGTTCACGGTGTCAATATTGGGTAAAACTAAGCCAGAAATATAAGGAAATCACTTGAAACTAATTAAATTACACCCTCAAAAGATGATATAGAAAGATGTAGAGAACTAACTTAGTTACAATCAAAATGACAGGAATTTCATAGTATTTTCTATCATGCGTTCACCTAATAGAATTTTACTGCATGCATTAACATGTTTTAAATGTGCCAAACAAGGTGCGGAAGCAGAAAATAAAGGTCTTTCCTATAAGAACTACATATTTAAAGTGAGAAAATTCAGAAGTGATTACAACTACTCTAAAAAAATTATACAAGTATACCTGTGCTTTTAAATGACATTGCAATTGTAAAGCAACTGGGTCCTCTTAGAACAGAAGTTCATATGGTAGGTCTGATCTCAATGCTATAAGAAAAACATAGACCAAGATATTTATAAATGCTTAAACTAGTATTAATAACTGGTGAGATTGCCATCATTAAAAGATGCAGGCTTCTCCTTCATAAATCCAATTAAATTTGATAAATTATAATTAATATATATATAGAGTTGGTGGTGGAATCCTAATGTGCAAGAAAAAATTAAAAATAAGAAGCTTTGTTATAAAAATTGGTTTAATTTTAAAAATTCTGATAATTGGGAAATATATAAAGTGGCTCGTAAGGATGCTAAGAAAGCAATATGCGATGCAAAGGCATTAGCTTTTAGTGATTTATATAATAGATTAGATACTAAAGAGGGAGAAAGATATATGTATAAGTTAGCCAAACAAAGAGATAGGAGTAGTAAGGATTTAGTTCAAGTGAAGTGTATTAAAGATGAAGATCAAAAAATACTTTTCTTAGAAGATGATATTCAACAAAGATGGATGAGATATTTTGCTAAACTTTTTAATGAAGATTGTGAAAATAAGATTGACTATAGTGACCTTAACACCCTAAATGAAAATAAAGATTTATATTTTTATCGGCGTATTAGTAAAACTGAAGTTAGAGAGGCTTTAAAGAAAATGAAGGGTGGAAAAGCTGTTGGACCTGATGATATTCCAATAGAGGTGTGGAAATGCTTAGGAGATGAAGGAATTTCATGGCTTACTAAACTTTTTAATACTATTTTGAAGACTAAAAAGATGCCAGATGAGTGGAGAATGAGTGTATTAATTCCTATTTTTAAGAATAAAGGAATGCACAAGATTGTGCGAATTATAGAGGTATTAAGTTAATGTGTCATACTTTAAAACTATGGGAGCGAGTTTTGGAGCATAGGTTGCGGCGTGATACTAATGTTTCTCAAAATCAATTTGGATTCATGCCGGGTAGGTCGACTATGGAAGCCATACATTTATTAAGAGGTTTGATGGAGAAATATAGAGAAAATAAGGAGGATCTACATATGATATTTATTGATTTAGAAAAAGCATATGATAAAGTTCCAAGAGAAGTGCTATGGAGAGTTCTTGAAAAGAAAGGAGTCAATAATGCTTATATTCAAATCATTAAAGATATGTATGCAGGAGCTATTACTTGTGTTCAAACACAAGGTGGATTGACCAAGTATTTCCCTATTTCGGTTGGGTTACATCAAGGATCAGCCTTAAGCCCATATCTATTTGCTTTAGTCATGGATGTTCTCACTAGACATTTGCAAGATGATGTACCTTGGTGTATGCTTTTTGCTGATGATATTCTTCTTGTTGATAAGACTAGAGAGGGAATTGAAGGTAAACTTGAATTATAGAGGTCAACCTTAGAGTCTAAAGATTTTCGCTTGAGTAGATCTAAAACGAAATATATGGAGTGTAATTTTAGTAGTAATAGACCTACTGAAGGGATTGTGACTTTGGGCGATCAAGTCATTAATAAGAGTACACGTTTTAGATATCTTGGATCTATTGTTCAGAGTGATGGTGAAATAGATGAGGATAATATCAGCAGAATTCAAGTTGGATGGTTGAAGTGGAGGAATGCATCGGGCTTGTTATGTGATAGAAATGTACCCCTCAAACTTAAGGGAAAATTCTATAAGATGATAGTGAGGCCTGCAATGCTTTATGGTGCCGAATGTTGGCCATTAAAAGAGAAGCATAATACTAAGTTAAGTGTGACAGAGATGAGGATGCTCAGGTGGATGAGTGGCTTTACCCTTAGAGATAGGATACGAAATGAGCATATACGTGAAAAGGTTGGAGTAGCTCCAGTAGAAGATAAGATTAGAGAAAGTCGCCTTAGATGGTTTGGTCACATAAAAAGGCGGCCTTCCGACGACCCAGTTAAGAGAGTAGAGGTATTAGATTTGACTTATATTAAGAAAGGTAGGGGTAGACCTAAAAAGACCTGGTTAGAAAATATTAGGAATGACCTTTCTTTATTAGATTTAAACGAGAATTTGACTTTTAATAGGACACAATGGAGAAAAAGGATTCATGTAGCCGACCCCACGTAGTGGGATAAAGGCTTGATGTTGTTGTTGTTGTTGCAAATGTTCACTTGCGTGAGTGCCAAGCACCTTGGGCATTGAGTTCCATCTCTCTTTAACATCACCTAGCGCCTTTGACAATAATGATTAAATTTCCCCCTAGAGTCATAACCATTATGGACTAGGTCTAGTGAAGCCCAAGCCCAAGGTAGAAGGCTATCTAATATGGATCATTAAGGTATGGCAGGCTAGACTGAATATGTACGACCTCCTCCTGATCTATGATGCCACTGACCCAAAACTGAGTTGGTGTTCTTCTACAGATTTTATCCTTGGCTTGCTTGAGACAGTATTTTGGGAACATATCATTTGTTTCAACTCATAACTTTAACTGTCAACTGAAAAACCGAATTTCTTCATAGACAGTTTGGTTTCAGCAACAATTATTGGGTTTAGCTTAGGAAGAATCATAAAATTTCAGGCTTGTATCAACCAACACAGTTGTAATCTGGGCAGAGATCGCTCATACGATGCTTAAAATGGAAACAGCACATATCATCGAAAACAACAGAATAGACTTTTTGGTCAAAATGAGTTATGAAAAGTATTAGAGATGATTTTTTTTTATTAGATTTAGATGAGAATTTGACTCTTAATAGGACACAAGGAAGAAAAAGGATTCATAAGGCTAACCATATAGTGGGATAAAGATTTGACGTTGTTGTTGTTCAGCAAAATGAGTTATGACCTGATAATTTCAGCATATCTGCATACAGTCCCAAATCATTTGACCATTATACAATAAATATTCATGCTATCTACAAAATGAGAATGAAAGCAGGGTAAAAAGAAAGAAGAATTATCAAACCTGAAACCAATCAGCAAACAGATACGAATGCTTATTGTGCTTCAGCAGATGGTAATCCACATTCCCGTTTGATGGCTTCAATTATCATCAAATTCATCAAGTAGAGCCATGTGATTTGAGTCAATCGTAGAATGATCTTTGAGAATAACTTCATGCTCTTTTTGTAAATTCAAAAATTCCAATTTCAAGCTAGCATGTATTTTCTTAAGATTCCTATATGAAGCATGAATTTTTTCAGAAATTTCAAGATGTTGATCGTAGGAAAGTTCACATACCTCTTCTTGATCAAGATTATCATTTTCCGTTAAGCACAAGTTTATTGTCTCATCTTCTGGTTCCGTCTCCAATGAGTCTAATGCAAAATCTGCCCAAAATGCCTTTTAAAGTCTCTTTTTGTCTTTTCTAAACTTGAATTTCTCCTCACTCTTTTCCTTGCTTGTGTGCGTCTTAAGTAACTATCATCTCTCACGTGTCCGGGCTTCCTGCATTCATAACAAACCACATCAGACGATCCTTTAGAAAATTTGTTATCCTTACCTCTTCTCCAATTTTGATGATGTTTTTTTCTTCCTTAGAAAGCTTTTGAATTGCCTTGTGATAAAGGCCATGTCATCGCTCTCAGACCCAGAAGAATCAGAGTCAAATTTGTGCACTTTCAGTGCCACTATTTTCTCTTTCTTTTTCTCACATGCATCAAGATTTCTTTGATTCACCCCTTACTCATAAGAAATGAGTGAACCAAGTAAGTTATCAATCGAATAGGTGTTTAAATCCTTAGATTCAGTTATAGCTGTGATTTTAGCATTAAAAGAGGAAGGCAAGCATCATAAGATTTTGTTTAATTTTTCATAGTTTGAAAGTTATCTTCCTAGGGCATGCAAAGAAGTTACAATTTGAGTAAAGCATGTATATATATAAAAAATTGATTCAGAAGGTTTCATACAAAAAAGTTCATAGTCATGCAAGAGAATATTCAAATGAGATTGTTTAACTTCATTGGTTCCTTCATAAGTAATGCACAACTTATCCCAAATCTCTTTTCCAGTAGAGCAAGTAGAAACACACATGTAATCCTCAGATTTTAAAGCACAAAAAATAGTTCAAACACTTCACATTCAATTGAGCTTAATCTCTTTCATCGTTAGTCCATTCAGAAAAAGCAACTTTAGTTTTAATTCCATTAATTTCATGAGTAGGAGGAGAATATCCTTCTTTTATAAGCATCCACATGCCATAGACAGTTGATTGCAAAAAAGTAGACATGCAAGTTTTCTAAAAATCAAAAGGAAGGTTGTAAAACAAGGGAGGTCGTGTAATAGAATTTCCTTCAGTTGTATTATGATTATAATAACACTGCCGTTGCCAGGTCCCAAGTCCTGGATGAGAAAAGTGGAGGGTTGCGTTAGGTAGTCGACAGCCAGCGTAAAACTTGTCGAACAATAATGACATGAATCCTTTAAGAAATTGTGTTAATGCTAGGGCGTCCCCTGGAAGCGACGCGCTGTATGGCCTGAATACAGTGACAAGTGTGCAAGGGCCGCTGCACCGGCGCCCGGGTGCAGTGTTAAATAGGCAAGGGTTCCCACATCAAGGACGGATGTGGGCAAAGAAGCTAGTCCATGATACTAAAATTAAAATAGGAACTTGGAATATAGGTTCCCTTACAGGAAAATTAATGGAATTAATAGATATTATGATTCATAGGAAGTTAAATATTTTGTGCATTCAGGAAACTAAATGGGTTGGAGATAAGGCTAAGGAAATTGATAGTTTAGGATTTAAACTTTGGTATTCGGGTAGGAGTCGTACTAGAAATGGTGTAGGTGTTATTATAGATAAGAGTTTAAAGGATAATGTTATAAAAATTAATAGGATTGGAGATAGAATTATAGCTTTAAAGATTGTTGTTGATGATAAGATTGTTAATATTATAAGTGCTTATGCTCCTCAAGTAGGTTTGGATATGAGTTCTAAATTAAATTTTTGGAATGACTTAGAAGAATTAATACAAAATATACCTCTTGAAGAAAGAGTTTTTATTGGAGGAGATTTAAATGGACATGTTGGTAGAGAGGTAGATGATTTTAAAAGCATTCATGGTGGCCATGGATTTGGAACGACGAATGAAGGTGGCAAGACCATATTGGATTTTTGTTTAGCTTATAATTTTTTAATTGCTAATACCTTTTTTAAGAAAAGGAATGAGCATCTCATCACTTATAAAAATGGATATAGTACAACCCAGATTGACTATTTTCTTATTAGAAAATTAAATCGTTTAGATTGCAAAGATTGTAAAGTTATTCCGAGTGAAAATTTATGTACCCAACATCGATTATTAGTTTTGGACTTTAAGATAAAGGGGCATAAAATAAAAAATAAAGTAAAACAATTTTCTAGGATTAAATGGGGGCATTTAAAGAATATTAACAAAAATATTTTTGGAAATAAGATTTTAGATCTTAAGATTTTGTCTGTGCATGAGGATGCTAATATTATGTGGGAAAAAGTGGCTAGTGATCTTAAGAATATTGCAAAAGATGTCCTTGGAGTATCAAAGGGAAAAGCTCCCAATAGTAAAAATAGTTGGTGGTGGAATCCTAATGTGCAAGAAAAAATTAAAAATAAGAAGCTTTGTTATAAAAATTGGTTTATTTTTAAAAATTCTGATAATTGGGAAATATATAAAGTGGCTCGTAAGGATGCTAAGAAAGCAATATGCGATGCAAAGGCATTAGCTTTTAGTGATTTATATAATAGATTAGATACTAAAGAGGGAGAAATATATATGTATAAGTTAGCCAAACAAAGAGATAGGAGTAGTGAGGATTTAGTTCAAGTGAAGTGTATTAAAGATGAAGATCAAAAAATACTTTTCTTAGAAGATGATATTCAACAAAGATGGATGAGATATTTTGCTAACCTTTTTAATGAAGATTGTGAAAATAAGATTGACTATAGTGACCTTAGCACCCTAAATGAAAATAAAGATTTCTGTTTTTATCGGCGTATTAGTAAAACTGAAGTTAGAGATGCTTTAAAGAAAATGAAGGGTGGAAAAGCTGTTGGACCTGATGATATTCCAATAGAGGTGTGGAAATGCTTAGGAGGAAGGAATTTTTGGCTTACTAAACTTTTTAATACTATTTTGAAGACTAAAAAGATGCCAGATGAGTGGAGAATGAGTGTGTTAATTCCTATTTTTAAGAATAAAGGTGATGTACAAGATTGTGCGAATTATAGAGGTATTAAGTTAATGTGTCATACTTTAAAACTATGGGAGCGAGTTTTGGAGCATAGGTTGTGGCGTGATACTAATGTTTCTCAAAATCAATTTGGATTCATGCCGGGTAGGTCGACTATGGAAGCCATACATTTATTAAGAGGTTTGATGGAGAAATATAGAGAAAATAAGGAGGATCTACATATGATATTTATTGATTTAGAAAAAGCATATGATAAAGTTCCAAGAGAAGTGCTATGGAGAGTTCTTGAAAAGAAAGGAGTTAATAATGCTTATATTCAAATCATTAAAGATATGTATGCAGGAGCTATTACTTGTGTTCAAACACAAGGTGGATTGTTCAAGTATTTCCCTATTTCGGTTGGGTTACATCAAGGATCAGCCTTAAGCCCATATCTTTTTGCTTTAGTCATGGATGTTCTCACTAGACATTTGCAAGAGGATGTACCTTGGTGTATGCTTTTTGCTGATGATATTCTTCTTGTTGATAAGACTAGAGAGGGAGTTGAAAGTAAACTTGAATTATGGAGGTCAACATTAGAGACTAAATGTTTTCACTTGAGTAGATCTAAAACGGAATATATGAAGTGTAATTTTAGTAGTAATAGACATAGTGAGGGGATTGTGACTTTGGGCGATCAAGTAATTAATAAGAGTACACGTTTTAGATATCTTGGATCTATTGTTCAGAGTGATGGTGAAATAGATGGGATATTATCAGCAGAATTCAAGTTGGATGGTTGAAGTGGAGGAATGCATCGGGCCTGTTGTGTGATAGAAAAGTACCCTCAAACTTAAGGGAAAATTCTATAAGATGGTAGTGAGGCCTGCAATGCTTTATGGTGCTAAATGCTGGCCACTAAAATAGAAGCATAATACTAAGTTAAGTGTGGCAGAGATGAGGATGCTCAGGTGGATGAGTGGCTTTACCCTTAGAGATAGGATACGAAATGAGCATATACGTGAAAAGGTTGGAGTAGCTCCAGTAGAAAATAAGATTAGAGAGAGTCGCCTTAGATGGTTTGCTCACATAAAACGGCGTCCTTCCAATGATCCGGTTAGGAGAGTAGAGGTATTAGATTTGACTTATGGTAAGAAAGGTAGAGACAGACCTAAAAAGACTTGGTTAGAAAATATTAGGAATGACCTTTCTTTATTAGATTTAAATGAGAATTTGACCTTTAGTAGAACACAATGGAGAAAAAGGATTCATGTAGCCGACCCCGCGTAGCGGGATAAAGGCTTGATGTTGTTGTTGTTGTATTTGCCATAAAATAATTCATAATCCATATTCTGAAAGCCTATATTATTGCTAAGGGTTTTAAGGAGCCAAAAAGGCAGGGCGAGGGCGAAGGTTTTGTGGAGGGCAATTCCACTGATCTCTAACACTTTAAGCAACAATTTCATAGAGCATAGCTGGGACTATAATGAGGACAAAAATACCTACATGGATGCATGTACCCATTCTTTTGTTTGCCAAACTTGTATCTCTTGATCAAGGTTGATCACTTGGATATGTTAATACAGTTTGAACTCTCCTCTTCATCCAAAGGATCTCACCATCACAAATTTTACAGAAATTTTAGAATAGCACAAAAGATTTGAGAAGATTATCAAGATTCCTTAAGATCCCCAAGGGTATCTAGAACTGAAAAGAATATCTGTAATGGAGTTAATTAAATCAAGCCCCTAAAAATATTCAAAGAGGGGGTAACACTATCCAATGAAATTCAATTTTTTATTTGCTAAAAGGGATACATGTTTACGGATTTCTTCATGAAAATAGTGACCCATGCTATCCACAGTACTTAGCAAGCCACCGAGGAGGAATTCAAGAAAACT